GGGCGGCCTCTAGATTCGAAGCCGGGCCCAGGGGATCCAGGGCGGGGTCTGGATGCGGAGACCCGCGAAGTGGGGCGAGGCCGGAGGCGGGTTTGGAGCGCGGGGCGGGATCTAGAGGCGAAGGTGACGGGGCGGGGGATTGGCTACGGGGCGGGGCGCACGGCTTGGCTCCGGGAGGACCCCGACCGGTCTCGTCCCCACCAGCCCTTCAGTTGTGACAGCCTGACGTTCAGAAAACTAGCCCTCCTACAACGCAGACGCCGGCCCGGGGCGCCCCGATACTCCGGCTGCTCAAGTCCAGGCCCCTGAGCCCGCGGACACGCAGCCCCAGGCCCGGGAGACACAGCACCACAGACCTCCCTGGCCCGTCCGCCCTCCGTGCGGTGCGGCCTCCGCACCTCAGGCATCAGGATCACCTTGAGCCGATCACGGTGTGTCTGGACCTCTGCAGGGCTTCCAGGAATCCATCTTTTGCCCTCATTGCAACCAGTGAAGACACATGGAGGCTATCCCAATGACTGGGCCCTAGGACTCTAGACCAGCTGCGTGCAGGGTGGACGCAGATGAAACCAGCACCCAGTTGGGACCCAAGAGCCTGCTCCGACTTTATTCAGGTGCTCCCTGCCCTTGGCTAGAGCCGTCTGCTACTTGAGCAGCTTCCTCATGGTGCCCAGGGATGGGCTTCTGTACTCCGGCCCAAAGTGATTCCAGTGGTTTAAGTAGTTAAAGAGCTGGTACAGCAGCAGCCTTCTGTCAAACCCCGGGGCCTTGGGGATCTTCCGGTGGTAGGCCGTGAAGAAGGACCTGGGGAACCCCCCAAACATCAAGGCAATTGCCAGTTCAAACTCAGAATGGCCGTAGAAGGAAGCTGGGTCATAAATAATGGGCCCTTCATCATCCTCAGCCACATTTCCTGACCAGAGATCCCCATGCAGCAGGGCAGGGACAATCTCTAGGCCACAAAACAGATCCGGGATCTTCACCTAGGAAAGTAACCGTTAGACAGTTAAGGGGCAGCATCCAGTTCTTGGAAATCAGACAAAGACAGCCACATGTTGGTTCAAGGTCTAACCATGCACCATCTCACCCCAGGGGAGTGCAGCTTTGCCTCCTGTTGACTAGTAGTAAATTATGTCCAGAGGTTTGCAGAGCTGATGGTCTGTTCAGACTCCCAGTGTGCTTTTTTATCATCCTGAAGACTAAGCCAGTTTTGTACCTGACTTAGCAAACATTCTGGTCTATTTTAGCTGCACATATAATATCTGCATCTCTGGGCTGGGGTTGTAGTTCAGTGGTAGACCACTTGCCTAGCATGTGTGAGGCACTGGATTCGATCCACACCCCATAAAAATAAGTAAAATAAAGGTATTGTTTCCATATACCACTATTTTTTTTTAATTTTTAAATATCTGCATCTTTTTCTTATCCTGCTGATTACCTCATTAATGAGTGAAATGGAATTTCATCATGCAAGCCCACCCTGGACTGATGAATAATTCTAACATTGGTTGGTAGTCCATTGCACTGGTAACCATGTCTTCACTAATGGCGAGATATTTGTGCTTTGACAGAGGACCAAAAGCAAGAGCACATAAGTGTCATCAACCATAATAGGAGTAATAGCAAAATCACCACTCAGAGTCAGGTAGCTGCTCCTCCTGAGGAAAGCCTCAGCTTACATACCCTATGGCTCAGCCAAGTGTCTGCTCCAGGACTATGTTCTCCCAGGGAAACCCGAATGAATGGGGTGGGGTACTGAGAGGACAGCCTACTTCCCTGAAAAGTGACTGCTGCACCCACCTGCAGCCTTGACCAGAGTTCTCGTGCCTCCCGGTCAGCATAGTCCTTCTCGATGAGGTCCAGCTGTGATTGGAGCCGGTGCCGGGTGAAAAAGGTCGCCCAGTCATCCTGCCACTCGTTCACCTGGACAACAGGGGAAGAGCCACAGGACCACTGCACGTGGACTCTGCTGAGCCCTGGAGCAGTCACCACCAAGCACAGCAGGGTGAGCTAGCAAGCCAGCAGAAGAGATGAGATGGAGTCTTAAAAGTAGTTAACCCAAAAGGTATGCAGGGAAAAGGGAAGAGCAATGGACAAATGAAACCAGACTCAAACCCAAACACATCAATAAGCACATAAAATGCAAAGGTCCAGGCATAATGGACACTCCTGTGTCCCAGCTGCTCAGGAGGCTGAGACAGGAGAACTAAAGGTTCAGGACCAGTTTGGGGGGAACTTAGGGAGAGCTGTCTCAAAATAAAAAAATTTAAAAAGGGATGAAGATGTATCTCAGTGGTAAAGTGCCCCTGAGTAGAATCCCCCCTGTAACAAAATTTTTTTAAAAAATAAAATAAAAACAGGATTCTGGCCTGGGGTTGTAGCTCAGTGGTAGAGCACTTGCCTAGCACATGTAAGGCCCTGAGTTTGATCCTCAGCCCACCATATAAAGATAAATAAATAAAATAAAGGTATTGTATCTATCTAAATTGCAAAAACAAAATTAAAAACAGGAATCTAGGGCTGAGGATATAGCTCAGTTGGTAGAGTGCTTGCCGTGCATGCACAAGGTCCTGGGTTCAATACCTGGTACCACAAAAATAAATAAATAAATAGACAGATAAATAAATAAGTAAAAGGATTCTATCCCCAGGACTGCAAAAATAAAAAATAAATATTCTAGTTAAATAACAGACTAGAAGTTTGGGGAAATAAAGCAAGAACCAACTCTCAGTGCAAAAATACACCTCATAAGCAAAAACAGAAATAGTTTTAAAGGAAAATTGCTATCATTAGTCAAATAAAGCTGGAGTAGCTCTATTAATATAAAAAGAAACCCCACAGATATATCATATATATACTGTCCCCAAGTATGAAGAAAGTCATTTCACAAGGTGGAGGGTGTGTGACGAGGAGGACATAAAAATTTTAAATGTGTATGCCTCCAATAAAGAGCTCCAAAATACAGGAAAATAAAACACATGTAACTGCAAACAGAAACAGAGGGTCTGCAGTGAAACTCTGCTGAGTTCAGAAGTGTGTGCCGTCCTCACACCCACATGCCAACAGGCCAACAGGGTTGAGATCCTGAGTGTGCACTCTTCATCTGGTGGGAAAACAGGCCCTGCCAAAGAGGGAGGGGGATTTTCCTCACTCCCCACAGGCACATGTGTGAGGAGACCCTAAGAGACACAGCAGGTCGGGGGCCATCTCACCAGGCAATGGCCATCTCTGAGGCCCTAGGGGCCAGCCCTTGATCCTGGACATCAGCCTATGGATGGAGAGAAGTGTCTGCTGTGGCTTTTGTGTGGCAGCCCTCACAGACCAAGACACCACTGGGGATTTCAACCTCTTAGTAATTGATAGAGAAGTAGGCAGAGAAGCAGAAGATGAGTCAATTCCAACAATTCTATCGTCTAACGAGTCAACACTCCACCAGCAAAGGCTTACACACTGTCTTTCCAAGTGCACATGGAGCATTCACCAAGAGAGTCATTTTCTGGGCCATAAAATAAATCTCAATAACTTGAAAGGAGCCTCAGTCCTACAGTATATACCAGCTGACCACAATGGAAATAAACGAGAAATCAGTAGGCCTCGGGGAGATCCCCAAATGTTTGAGATAAATGACATGCTTCCAAAGTCTACAGTTATGGCAGGAATTGGAAAGGAAATAAAAAAAGTATTTTGAATTGAAAAAAAGTGAAAATATGGCACAATTTGTGGGGCACTGCTAAAGCAGTACTCAGGGAAATTTATCACACTAGACCCCTGCGTTAAAAGAAGAGCTTGAATTGGTGACCTCACCTAGAAAAAGAAGAGCACGTTAAACCTAACATAAGCAGGAAAAGTAAAACTTTAAAGATCTTATCAGATATTAATGAAGTAGAAAAGCAACAGTAAAGAAAAGCCACATACAAGATGCAGGTTCTATGGGAAGAACAGTGATGTCGATAAACCTCTAGCCAAACGGGTGAGGCTGAAAAGAGGAAAGCCACAGGAGAATGAAAAAGGGTCACAATGCACAGCCTCCAGACAGCAAAGGACAACCAGGAAATGTTTTAAGACCTGTGCAGAGAAATTCAGAGCCTGGATCAAATTGATAAACTCCTTGAAAGACACTAGCAAATCTCAGTCAAAAAGAGAAACCAAGCAGCCTTCTCTTAATGAAGCTGTAGCTAGGGCTGGATTGTAGCTCAGTGGTGGAGCACTTGCCTAGCACATGTGAGGCACTGGGTTTGAATCTCAGCACCACATAAAAATAAATAAATAAAGCTATTGTGTCCATCTACACAATTATATTTATAAAATATAAAATATAAAAATATTTTAAAAAATAAAAAAGGAAGAAGCTGTAACTAAAGTCTTATAGACGGTTAGAGACCCATATGCCACCATTGGTTAATTCTAGAAAATATTTAAGAAGAAAGTAATACCCATTTCACAGCAACTTTTCCAGAAAGACGTGGAATACGTCCCAATCTATTTCTCTTATACCATATAAAAGATATTATAAGAAAAGAAAATTACAGATGAATTTCCCTGAACACAAATGCAAATATCCTAAGCAGAATTTTAGCAAATAGAACCCAACAGCAATATAAGAAGAAAAATGCATCTCAACTAGGAAAATACTCAAAAATAATCAATGCAATTCACCATATTAATAAAAGGGAAAAGAAAATCCACTTGATCATTGCGAAAGATGCAGGAAAAGCATTTGATAAAATCTAGCGTCCATTCCTGATGAGAACTCCCAGAAAACTAGGAACAGAAGTGAGGTTCTTCAGCGTGATAAAGAGAAACCTACTGTGAAGTTCACACATCACAGGGAAGACCCAGTGCTCCCCAAGACCAAGGAAAAGTGTCACGTGCTCTCTCACCACTTTGATGGAACCCAAAAAAGAGAAAATAAAGTAAAGCCCTACACACTGGGATGAGAGAAGTGAAACACCTCACAGTAAACATGACATCTATGTAGAAAACCTGACCTATAAAATAAAAATAATAGGAGAACCAGGATGTGGTGTGGCCTAGTAGTACAGTGACCCTGGACTCAATACCCAGCACCACCAAAAAAAAAAAAAAATGGATGAGCATCAGAATGATTCGGCTGAGGGACGACACCAGACCGGTCAAACCCCATGACTTTTCTGCAGTAAACTTCACAGAACAGCTTACTGCAGGAAGTCGGGCCAGTGCCCACTCAGAGGAGCCAAGGGCAGGAGGAAGGTGCCGGAGGTCTGGGTGCTTCCGACCTTGGCTAAGTGGGTCCTGAGAGTGCCTGTGTGTGCCCAGACTCACCCGACGGCCAGCTTCCTGTCAACTACTCCTGGTTTCTCTGGGACACCCCCCCACAGGAGTTCTCAGAAAGCTCTCATTCCACTGTGGGGCAGCTGGACAGCCCTGATCTGTGGTCCTCCCAGTGGAGCATGCCCACAGGCTTGGATGCTGTGGTGACTTGGCTTGGGGTTCACCCTTGCTGCTGGGTGTACCTCAAGAGCAGGACGAGGTGCCCCCTCCCCACAGCCTGTCAGACCCCAGCACTGAGGGGCACCATGCTGCACTCATGACTCCCCGTTTACCTGCTCAGGCTCCCCATGCCCCAGCTCCACCCTCCTGCTGGAAGATGGCCAGATCACAAAAGACACGGATTCCATGATGGGGACGGGAAGTCAGCATTGGCAAGTCCAGTCCCACCCTGGACTGGGGCCATGGTTACCAAACCCACGGACAGAAGGGGCCTTCCCCTCTACTGCTCAGGGCAGGTGCCACCTGGTGCTCAGCTGGTTTCGAGACGGGCTCCCCTGACAGAGAGGCAAGGATGGGTGATGGCCAGGGCCCAGGTCACACCTGCTCCTGCACTCACTGGCTGCCAGGCCTTGGGGGGTCACTTGGTCCTTGCACATGTGTCTCCTTATTTGCTAATGTGGCAGATCAGCGGCATCTCTGGCCGGCGCCTCATGGCCCGCGCCTCATGGCCCGCCATGGCCTGTGTGAGTTGAGCCAGACAGCTTGAGGACCACAGCCCTGAAGCACCCTCCAGAGCCACCAGCCAGGAATGCCTGCACTGCGGTCACCCTCGGGCATGCTGGGGCTGAGTGAAATCGCAGGACCTGCAAGGAGCTGCTCTCTTGCCCTCAGGCAGGACAATCTGAGTGGCAGAGTGGTGGTACTGCCCCTGAAGCTGGACCAAGCACTCAGAGGGAGGCAGGTGGCATTTTCTGGCACAGCCACAGAGGTTCCTGTGAAATAGAGGTGCCCTGTCAAGCCTGTGGCCAGTGGCTCTTCCCAGTAAGCACTGTCCAGTAGACGCCTCTCGGCCACCTGTCCCACAGTCCTAGCACAGCTGGACTGGGGGCCAGACACTAGCACTCAGCAGGGCACAGAATGAGCCAGCTGCCACTGCCGACAGGGCTGGTGGTCCCCATGGGGCTCAGGGCTCCAGTGTCTCAGAAGCCCGCCCACCCACATGGCCCACCCCTGGCTGCTGCCTCTCCCCAGGACCCACTCAGCCCTCCCAAGGAGTGGGAGGCCTGAGAACCTGCAGCCAGTCTGAGGCACTCCATGTGGGACAATCGTGCCATAGCTCAAAGGAGGTGCAGCAGGTGCCCCCAGGTCCCCAGTCCCTCCTGGCTAGACGCAGTCTAAAGGGATCTCAGGGGCCACCTGTGTTTCAGACCACTCCCACTTTCCTGCGCTTCACACACTGGGGTTCTGTGCAAGACTTCATTTCTCAATTTCTGCATATTTAAAGAACATTGCACGTGGCCAACCAAGTCTTAAAGACCCCCACCACTGGCAGCCTTAACATCTCACGCGAGATGACAAGCCGTCTTGCCTCGGGTGGCAGAGCCATGCTGGTCACCAGCTCCAGACAGATGTATAACCCAGAGGGGCCCGTGTGGTCAGGCCTGAGCATCTTGACAAGCCTGGGGAGTCACACGCAGTTCTAGGACCCCGACGGGAGGCCTGCCTGTTGCCTGGGTCCCTAAGTCCACCCAGGCTTCAGAAGGATCTCGCCAAAGTGACCTTGGACTGGAAGACTCACCCTCCCTCCCAGAGAGAGAGTTGGTCGTTGTCCACAGGGGCCCAACAGGTCAGGGAAGGTCCAAGCAGGGGGAGGATTGGGGAGCATGACTTTCAAAGGCAATAAGCCTAACCAGGACAGGCTCTCGTGAGACAGGACCCTCTCACAAGGCGGAACATGCCTGCCCCGGCTCCTTCCAGGCAGCCTGGCGAGAGAAATGAGCCTCCTTCAGATCTGCATGGGCTTCAGAGATGGCAGTCAAGTGGCCCCAGGCACAGAAAGAACACAGCTCAACATGCCACAGTGTGCCAGGTAAAGGGACTGGCCCCCAGAGGCTGCGCACCTTGGCCCCATTGTTAGGACTGTCTGGAATAGGTGGATGCTCAGAGACACCGGGTGCTGGGTTGCAGGACAGTTGACTGACTGCCAAGGCCACTTTTGTGGATGGAGATGTTCCGGCATTAGGTGGAGACAATGACATTGTGAATATACTAAAAATCACTGAATTAGCTATTTGCAGTGGTGCACACCTACAATCCCAGAAACTCAGGAGGCTGAGACAGGAGGATTGAAAGATTAAGGCCAGCCTCAGAAATTTAGGGAGGCCCTAAACGACTCAGTGAGACCCCATCTTGAAATAAAAAATAAGGGGCTGGGGATGTGGCTCAAGCGGTAACGCGCTCTCCTGGCATGCGCGGGGCGCTGGGTTTAATCTCAGCACCACATAAAAATAAAAAATAAAGATGTTGTGTGTGGGAAGCCATTCTCACACGTGATTTGAGTTACCTCGCGGCTGGGTGAGAGGCGCTTAGACAACTGTGTCAGAGCCTTCCCCACCCTGTCCCAGGTGCGAGGGCTTGTCCGTGTGGAGGCGTGCCTGGCCACTGACCCCAAGACCAGTCACTGACCCTGGCCTTGGAATGCTGCCCCCCTCGACCTTCATTGGATGGGATTTTCCCTGGAATTTCTGTTCCCCTATAAAAGCTCACTCCCTGGCGTGCTCGCTCTCTCTCTCCTGCTAGTCTCTTGTATAAACCTGACACCGTATTAGTGGCTGGAGGCCGCAGCTAGGAGAAGCCGCCTCCAGAGCTGGGCATTAAAGGTGACGGGAGTATGTCTCTTTAATCGTAAGACTCACTAGTTCATTTCTATGCCTCGAGCCTCCTTTATGAAGTTCGCGTGCTGGTCACGCGGCAGAGTTGTGTCTGCTGAAAACGGAAAAATAAATATTAAAAAATTCTCTCTCTTCTCTCTCTTTCTCTTCTATTCTCCTTCTCTCCCTCCCTCCCTCCCTCTCTCTCTCTCCCTCTCTCTCTTAAAAAAAAAAAAGAATGAATGAATGAAATTAAAAATAAAAAGAACCAGGAACGTAGCTCAGTAGTAAAGTGCCCTGGGTTCAATACCCAGTGCCAACAAGCAAACCAAACCAAACACCACTGAGTCATGCGGCGGGAAAGAGCTGGGCTTTGTGCGGTGTCAACTGCAACTCCATTGCATCTCCATCAGGGAAGGTAATTTGTTAAAGGACCTAGAAGAAATGCTGAGTGCCAAAGGCTTGCTCCCTGAGCCTGCGTGCTGCCCGCCTGCCCTCCCTCCTGGGACCCCAGCCCGCACCGTCTTCGGAATTCAGAGACACATCTTGCTGAGGGCGGGGCATGCTGCCACACACGAGGGGTCCGGTGACCAGCACTGGGGTGTGGATCTGCAGGGACATCCCCACCTGACACTTACCTGTGGGATGAAGCCACAGCACGTCACCGTGTGGAAGCCAAACTTGGTCACATACAGGGGCTCTGCACCCTCAGCCCTCCGGCCTGTCAACAGAGACCCTGGGCTGCAAACAGACACACCCGACGGAAGACCCACCTCGACCAACTGGACAGCAGGGCTGGTCATGAAAGGGGCCGTCAGCCAATCCCACCAGCTTGCCCACTCTCTGAGATTCATGTTTAATCATCTCATTCTGAGATGCAGCCTGGAGGGAGATGGTATGCCATTCACCCTGCTATTGACATGCCACCAGGAAGCATCCTGGGCACTGTTCTGGGGTAGCCCTGCCGCTGGGTAAGGAAAGCTGACTGGACTTACCCACTGTGTTCTCCTCCGCCTTCACTTTCTCCCTGAGCCTCTGGTTGTAAAGGTGCAAGTCTGCCATCTGGTCTCCAAGCTTGGAAGCCTGACTGAGGGAAGAAGAAATGCAGCTATCAAGACTACCATCACCCAGGGTGCTTTGAAGACCTTACAAACCCGCCCCACTCGTGTAGGATGGCCCTGAGCCTGCAGCGCCAAGCGGGACCAGCGAGGTCTGCAGATGCGTTGGCAGGAACAGAGCACTGATCTCTAGTCGGAAAGGGCTCCGCGGGGGACACAGCACCAGCCCCTGCCGAACACTGCAGCCACAGGGGACACAGGAAGACAAGCAGGGGCCACCGCCTGCCTGGGAGCAGGGGTGGCTTGGCCTCTTCTGCACCAGAGCACTCCTCACATTTTACACAGTGAACATGTATGGCTTTCTCCTCTTCTTCAGTGCTGGGGACTGAACCCAGGGCCTCGAGCATGCTAGGCAAGGGCCCTACCCCTGAGCTGCATCCCCAGCCCTGACTTTACAAGGTGAAAAGCCACGTAAGACTTCAGACAATTAGTAGATCATCCTTGTTCAGCCCAAACTGAGCTGGCATGAGCACACACTAAAGCACAAAGCAAGGCACAAGTTCAAATGCATGCTCTCTGCAGCCATGTCACAGCCAGACTGACCCCAAACCAGCACCAGCCACACACAGAAAGCCCAAACTCTGTCTCAGGCAGGAAGGGCCTGTGCTGGCAGGGCAGTTATGTGGGCAGCTCCGCCAGCCCCTCTATCTGTCTCTCTTTCTCTTCCCTCCATCCCTGTCACTGTCTCTCTGTCCCTTTGTGTGTCTCTGTGTCTGGGTGTGCTTGTGTGTGTCCCTCTTACACACAGATACACTCACCTACTCAAGCTCTTCATCTTCAAGTACTCCATCACAAAGACAGCCCCACCTGCCGGCAGGTCTATCACCTTCAAGGGCCGAGGGGCCCGTACCAAGCCTGTGCTACGTAGGGCCTCCAGGCTTGCCATCTCCCCCTCAAACATCTGCCGGGCCTGTGTCCAAAACATCCAAAACACCACTGTGAGCCCCTGCAGCAACACAAGCTCCAGCTCCAGCAGGGGCCCCTGCAAGTCAGGCTGAGGGGCGGGTAGACCATAACACCAGAATGAAGTCGTAATGTGGGCTCGGAAGCCTCGGCCTCCCATGGCTGAAAACCGGCAAGTCATCCATCCCTCAGCAGCAGGGTGCACAGAAGCTGGCTTTAGGAAGGAGCAAGCCCGAGGCTGCCTGGGTGTTCGAGGAGCCTGGGGGTGGGCAGGATGCTGCCACCCAACAGCCAGCTCTTGCTGAAGCAGTGAGGAGACATGGGCCACAAGAGGTGCAGGTATGGGGTGCAGGGCAGTGAGAGCTCACCAGGTCTTGGGCTGCCCTGGGTCCTCTTAGCAGGGGGCAGCCTTGGGCAACCACAGCAAAGAGGGCCAGGGCATGGTGGAGGTGATGTGTCAGGGAGGGTGGGGCTGGGAGGGCAGCTGGGCCTGGCTCAAGTCCATCAGGGCCTGGAGAGTGGAGAGGAGCCATACAACTAACTTGTTCCCAAAGCCTCTGCTGGGACTCAGGGGTCTTTCTATTTCTAGAACACTCCTATAATTATCCCAATTTGACATTAGATGAGCTCTCTCCTAGGAACACGACACTTCAGTGAAAAACGTGCTTATTAATGAGGTTTGTGAATACTTCTGCCTGTAGGGTTTCAGGTTTAAAGCAAACCTTGTAAATAAGACCAAACCCCCCACTGCCAGGCAGGAGGAAACCCATCCTTCTATTCAAAGTCCCCAGGGGGAAACCAGGGATTGTCCCTCAAGGAGCCAGCCTGGTCCCTGACTCCTGAGGTGGCAGGGCCTTCACAAACTGCACTTAACACCCATCTGAGCCCCAGACTTCAGGCAGAGAGCATCAGGGACACAGCCTGCTTTTATCCCCAGGGCTCTAACTGACACCTTCTCTGGAGCCTGGTCTGAGCACCAACTGTGTGGGCCTGAGAGTCTCAAGGGGGAAGGGGGATTCCCCACCTTGAGGGAGTCTCCTTCCCTGTGCCAACTATGCTGAGCATCCCCAGGTGTGGTGCTGCCAGGCACTGGGAGAAAGAGCTCTGAGACTCTCCAGCACTGCCCAGGACCACTGCCCATCCGGAGTACAGGGCCTCTTGCTGCTTGGGTCTGCCGGTCAACAGCTTGCCTGCTCTCAGGGCCTATGGCTAACTTTCTCCATGTTCATTGAGTTACTCAGGGCCTCACTAAGTTGCTGAGTCTGGCCTTGAGCTCACCAGGTCCCAGGTCCCAGGTCCCAAGTCTCTGGGATCACAGGCGTGGGCCACTGCAGGGCCAGAAATATTTTAAGCAGACCGTGGAAACTCAGGTGTATTTAAACACGCCATAGCCTATAAGGAACCCCTGGAGTCCTTTCTCTCCTCACCTGCTGGAGAGGGCACAGGCCTGAGAGGAGCAGGGCCCAGAGCTGAGGCCAGTCAGGACCAGAAGGTCCTGGGCTACGAGCCTGCCTCCCTCATACTCCCTGGATGCAGAATTAAAACAACTAAAAAGCCACGAAAAGGAAGGAGATCGATATGCAGCAAAGACAACTTAGAGCCCTCAAGAATCACCCTGCAGGTGCCAGCCCCAGGGCCGCTGTCTGACCAGGGCAGCGGGCAGTGGACAGCAGGCAGGCCACTAGGCCCAGCTCCAGAAAACCGCCGCCCGCCCTTTCCGCACAGCGCACCTGCGCCCTGCGGTTGACCTTGACGAACACCGGGCCAGCGTCTGTTTCGTAGGCACGGCCCTCGCTGATGCAGCCGGCCCCCGGGATCCCGAAGGCGCGCAGGGTCGCGGTGCGCAGCTCAGCGCGCAGCAGCTGCTCCATGGGTTCGCTGGGCCTGCAATGCCTGGATGGCGCTGACAGGGGCTGGGCGGGGACACTGGGCGCGGCCAGCGCAGCACCCCGGCTGCAGCAGCTCAGAGCAGCCCCTCGGTGCGCGCTCTCGCTGCGCGCTCCCGCTCTGATCAGCTGCCCAGGGGGTGACGGTCTCCAAGCCAGCGCTCCTAGGGCGACCGAGCGGAGGGGGCTAGCAGCGCTGGGCCCCTTGGCTGGGCCCACTCCAGATGGGCTCCACTCCGCCCATCCCAGTGGAGGGAGACCCCTGCCCTGGTTCTGGCTGCTCTGGAATGAGTGGGGGTAAAAGGAGGGTCCTCCCCTTTTGTGGGCATGGCACACCCTGGGGCAGAGCGCCCTGCACAGGTGGAGGCTGGAAGCCCTCCAGGGAAGGCCTGTGTCAGGACTCCCTCCCACTCAGGGAGCATGGGACAGACAGGCACTTGTTGTCCCTCAAAGGCAGGTCACAGTCCTGGCAGACAAGGCAGGAGTCTCAGAGGGTCTTAGCCAGACCCCTGGCACTAGTACTGATCCGGAGCTCTGCCCCTCAGGGATGGGCTGCTCTGTGGTCTGTTGACAGCAGTGACCCCTCAGGGTATGACTCCCGCCCAGAGGCAGCCACCCTGGGAAGGGAGCCTGCACAGACCCACACACCTGAGAACACTCACAAGCTGGCAGGCACAGTGTGCACAGTCAGGGCCGAGGGAGTCTAAAGTGGGACTCAGGACCAGGTCCCGGGGCTGCCTGGCCATGCCTCCTAACCTCCTGGGGAACCCCCAAGCCCTCCCCACCCAGGGCAGGCTCCTGGCTGACCCTGCTTCCTTCCTCAGATAAGGGAAGCTGGAGTGGCACCTCTTCACTAGGCAGGCTGATGCAGGAGTGTGGCTTGGCAGAGTTTGGCACCGGCCCAGGCACGTAGTCTCAGAGGGGAAAAATAAATGAAAAACGAAAAGAGCCCTGGAAGAGAGATTTGGAGCTAATAAACACTGGTTGAGCTTTCGTCACCTGCTAGGGCCCAAGTGAAATGTCAGTCATCTGGTCTGTGAAGGGTCCTGCCATTAGCTCCCACCTTTCAGACGAAGAAACTGAGGCACAGAGAGATTGAGCAACTTGCCAAGGGTCCCAGTGCTGGAAGGTGGCAGAGGGAATTTGAGAGTGAATCTTTCTGGCTCAGGCCCCACCAACTATCAACAGTGGTCTCAGAAGGTCCTCAGTGGGGCCAGGACTCTGCCTTCCCAGGGTTCCTCCCAGGAAGCCCACCCCCACCCTGCCACCCAGTTCCCTCCTGCCCTCCAGCTGAACCTGCAGCAGATGCCCACCCGGTTAGAGGCAAAGCTGATGGTCAGATCAACATCTGAGATTTTCATGAAGAAATCTGACGTCCTGGAGTCCCAATGGTTGAGGGAAGCCTCAGAGGGGCCCTGTGGGGGCTGGATGCCCTGAAGTCCTTCTTGCTGCTGCCCCAATCAAAACTGGGAGTGGGTCCACTGGGGCCTCTAACTGGAACCTGGCATGGCGGTCCCTGCCAAGCAGGAGACGACCATGTGGCCTCTTGGTGTGGCTTGAGACTCTTTGAGCATCAAGAAGCCATGGTTCCAGAACTAGCAGGAGCAAAGGCCTGTTCTGACCCAGCTTAGAAGCCAATGCCATTGTTTCCTCTTCCTCCCACTGGCTATAAGTCTCCAAGATCACCACCAAGGAAGATGGACAAGCCACGGCAAGGCCACCAAGGAAGTTATAGGGACAGCCACCTAAGGGAGGGCAGCTGCCCATGTCTTACTCTGCCCAGTGGTTCTCTCTGTCCGAGCCCGCCCTGACCAGGCATTGAAGACAGCTACGGCAGAGCCCTGCACCTGGCAAACGTCTGTGCTCTGGCTGACGGCCGGGCTCTATGGAGTTCCAGGTAGGCAAGGCCACACCCTTTCAGGCTTAGAAGGCTGCGTGCTGCAAAGCTTGGCCACATGGACTCTGGTAGGAACCCTAACCCTGGAGGCTCCTAGGGTCTTCTCTGTGGTAGGCTCTTAAAGTTACTGAGGTGGGTGTTTGGGATGAGTCTGCTGTCACCCCTGGTCAGGTCACGTCAGGATGGAAACCTGCCCTTCAAACAGCTCATATGACACCTGGAATCACACACCACGGGCCTGCAGAGAGCCATCTGCGCCCTCAGGCCTGCAGCAAGAACACGGTAGCTTGGTCCACAGGCATCGGTCTTTGTTTTTTTGTTTTTGATTTATTATTATTATTAGTTGTAGATGAACACAATACCTTTATTTTGTTTTTATGTGGTGCTGAAAGGCTTGAACCCAGTGCCTCACACGCGCTAGGCAAGTGTTCTATCGCTGAGCCACAGTCACAGCCAGCCCAGGCCTTTATTTTGGGATCAACGAGGGCTACTGAAAATTCAGAGGCAGGAAAGTGACAGCAGGACTTTGTGGTGTGTGAATTATAATGCTATTTAAAGACCATATCTTAGAAAGATGATGCACAGAGTAAGCTGGGGGCAGGGATCAGGAGGCACGGAGGGCTGCAGGCTTCCTGTGGACAGAGGAGCAAGATGGCGGGCAGAGCAGACCCCAAGCCAAGGAGGTGGCAGGACAGGGGTGTTACATGACAGATTTGTTCCACAGAATCTGCTTCTACCTCACACCAGCCTCCATGTAGCCTGGACCACCCTGTTTTAGAAGCTGGCCTTCTGGTAGGTCTGGCCAAAGGGGATCCCAGAAGATGGAAAGGAGGGTGAGGTTGGGGGCCTGCTCCCCCACCTCCTGCCAACCAGGTCCCAGGGCTCGCCCCAAGAGCTGGGTGCTGCCCTGCTCCTGCTGTCTTCACCCTCCCACCTGTCAAGCCCTCTTTGGATGAGTCCAACCTGGGGGGCCTGACCAGCCTGGCTGGCCCTGTGCCAAGGCATCCAGACAGCCTGTGGAAGGGATGCAGGGTGCCGCTGCTGGAGCAGGGAATGTGTCAAAAGATGAAAGTAAGCTTCAGGGTGCAAGGTCAGCTTCAGCTTTTCACCTCCCTCTGTGGAGTCTGGCACTCTGGCAGTGTCACACAGGGCTGTGCTTCATTTAACCACTGAGCCACACCTCCAGCCCTATTCTGTATTTTATTTAGAGACAGAGTCTTACTGAGTTGCTTAGCATCTCTGCTTTTTGCTGAGGCTGGCTTTGAACTTGCGATCTTCCTGCCTCTGTCTCCTGAGCTGGTGGGTTTATAGGCATGTGCCATCACACCCAGCAAGGTTGTGCTTCTTGATGAAACACTCCCACTCTCAGTAGGAAATACCAACACCCAGAGAGGAGACCTGAGGGTCCAGGGCAGGCACTTGGGGCAGCAACCCTCCCCTGGACGCCTTACCCCAGTGATGTTTGTGGCTGCTCTAGAGATAAACCCCTCCCAGGTCCAGCCTCAACGAGGAACCTAGGTGTTAGTGTCTGGAGCTAGCTCTCTCAAAACTGCAAGTGTTGACACTCTGCTTTGCAAGGACCAGAGGAGGCAGTGACAGGACATCATACACCACCTCTGCCCAGCCCAGAACCCCGCAGTACTTCACTTGGGGAAACCTGTCCCAGACAGTGCATCCGTCTCTCATGGAATGGAATAATACTCAAGAAGCAACTCCAGGTAGACCCGGTACCTCTGGACCTAAAGTCTTTATGCCTTTGGCAACCTTTTAGGAAAAAAAAAAAGTGGTATGTGTGTGCACTATGTGCATTATATATATAATAGTGAATACAAAATTAGGTACAAAAGCAGACGTTTTAGGAGGAGTAATTGCCACAAATGGCAGTTTAAAAAGCTGACACCATCACAGAATCGAAAACACCACTCTCCTCTTATCAGCCCACCACACACCCGGAGGTGTCCTCCCACACCCACTGGTGGCCTCTCCTGAAGGCAGCACTGCCACTGTCCAAGGAGCGAAGGCCATCTCCTCTGGAGGGCCCAGGTGTCCTTTCTGCTCATGGCTGGGGAAGGGCTGGGCTCGCTGTTTGACACAGGAATGATATCCAGGCCACAAGCATCGTGGACACCCAGAGGCCCCTGCACAGCCACCAAAGGGACGCTCTTGGAGGGAGGGGTCTGGGTATCGTCCTGCTCAGGCACCAATGTCTCTGGACACAGTCGCCAGCTTCCCCAGGCTCACAGTAATCAAGCTGGGTCGTGGCGAATGGTGGTCCAGGAATTACCAGGTTAGAAACTGACCGCCCCGAATGCCTCAGGGTCACAGTCCTCTCTTCCTGTGGCCACCAGCAGCTTCTCCCCTGACCCAACCACATGACTACTTTCGTCCTCCTGTTTTCCAGATCTCACAGGTGGAGAACAGTGGACGGGTGGCACCACCTGTCAGGTGCCATGGACAGTTCTCAGGCTGCTCCTTCCTGTATCAAGCTCTGTGCTGTACTTTACTTGAACAAAAAAACAAAAACTGGGGCTGAAGTTGTAGCTCAACTGTAGAGAGCTTGCCTCCTACATGTGAGGCACTGGGTTCGATTCCCAGCACCCCATTCAAATAAGCAAATAAAATAAAGGTCCACCAACAAAAAATATTTTTAAATAAATAAATAAATAATAAAAACGGTTCTTTTAAGAAACAACAGGTGTAGCCATTTATGGTCAAAACATAGGGCAAACCACAGGACAGAGGCTGAACCACAACAGTGGCAAGTATGTAGTCTCATGAACCAGTGAGACCACTGGAGTTTATTTAGACTTTCAGGCAAAGGGTCTGTTAGTGTCCATGACATTCATGAAATACTTCATCACTATGATACTGAAATATTAGTTCAATGCTCATTTTATAAGTTTAGCAAAGAATGACAACTTGGCAAGACTGTAGAAAATGACATAGATGGGTAATAACAGGAGGGAGGGGTTCATGACTCCTAAATTTACCCGTTTCACCCTATGGCTGGCAACTTGGGCCCTCCCAGAACTAGTTCCCAGACCTGCTCAGCCTGCAGTTAGGTCCAGAGGAAACGCATAAAGAAAAGGAAATGTGCTTGATTTGGGAATTAATGGCCCCTATAAGGTTCTAGGAAGCTGGCTTCGTGTCTGGACTCAGGTCTTACCCATCACGAAGCACCATCAGCTCAGAGGTGTTCCTGGACAGGGAAGCAGGTGGGTGGACACACTGGTTCTGTCCCTGCCTGCTCACACGGTCTCGCACGGTTCCCTGCCATTGGCCCAGGGCCCTCAGCCTCAGAGGTCCCTGTGCCGGTTGCCGCGTGGCCTCATCAGTCACGATGTCTGGCCACGTACAGCTTGAGGGCACACCTTTCCTGACATCACGTCCTATTCAAGGCTTGGACACAGGCCGCACGGAAAACAGGAAGTTGCGCGAGTAAGTGGCCGTGGAGAAAGACATGGCTCCTCCGAAGGAAAGCCAGCTCACTTGGCCAGATTCCGCATGATGTTCAGGGAGGACCCTCTGTACCCTGATCCAAAATGGTTCCAGTGGTTCAGGTAGTGGAAGAGCTGGTACAACTGCAGGCGCTGCTCAAATCCAGGGACCTTGGGGATCTTGCTGTGGTAGGCAGAGTAAAAGGAGCCACTGAAGCCCCCAAACATGCCGGCTATCGCCAGCTCATACTCGGAGTGGCCATAGAAAGAAGCTGGGTCGAAAATAATGGGCCCAGAGGAGTCTTCTGCTACGTTCCCTCCCCAGAGGTCTCCGTGGAGCAAGGCAGGGACAATCTCCAGGTTGCGGAACAGGTCAGGGATCTTCAGCTGCAGGGAGACAGAGCCTCAGCTACATGCAGAGGGGTGCAGATGTTTCCTAAGGGCTGTAGCACATCCCCCAACAGCAGCACCACTCAACAGTGCCTGGATTCAGGGGACGGACAGGACACTGACAGGCACCTGCCTCCTGTCCAGAACCAGACTCAGGGGGGCTGCACCTGCCTTGGCACTTCTGACATTGGAGCCAAGGGGGACATATTGCTATGGGATGTGTTTGATTGTGCAGCAAGGGCCCTGCTCACCTGCAGAGCAGACCAGAGCTCAAGTGCCTCCCGGTCCCCAGACTTCTTCTCCACCATGTCCATCTGAGGCTGAATGCGCTGCTGGGCATAGAACATGACCCAGTCCTCCTGCCAGTCATTCACCTGCACGTGTGAAAGCAAAGGAGAAAGCATAGTTCTTTGGACAATGCCACACATAAAGAAGCTCGAATACCCAGAAGTACCGTAAAGTGGAAGAGGCTTGCACACATGGCATGTGAAGAGGGTCACCACCTGGAGCTGAAGAGCCAAGGGTGGCTGGGCAGCATGAGGTCTCAGAGACAGGCTGAGACCTCAGGTCCTTTCCTAGGAGCAGCGGGAAGCAGGGAATGCGGTAGGGTCCACTCTGTAGCCTTCCAAGACTGAAGAGCACAGGAACATTTTCTTTTGATTATACTTACTGAACACAGAGGCCAGAGCCAGCTGACCTTCCCTGATCCCATTGCTTAATGGGATCATAGATGACCCCTCTCCAGAGAGTGATAATGAGAAAAGTCATGTAGAGCCCTGTACAAGAAGAGGACCCCCAAGAGAGGATGTCCAGGCCACAGGTGCTTGTCCCTGTGGGGGAAGAGAGACAGACACACGGTAGTACAGCACCACGCAAAGCAGGACATGCTGAGGAGAGAGCCGCACACGCACGAGAACGCAGATGGGCACGAGAACGCAGATGGGCACGTGCACCCAGGGCAGAGCCCCACACGCACACAGAAGCACTGAGCACGGGTGCATGGAGCATCACAGGAAGAGAGGAAGGCGCAGAGCCGGCTAACCCACGCCCTGAAGCTGAGGCACCAGAAAGCACTGCTCAAGGCTCTGAGGTAGCTGTCCAGACAGCCTCCTAGGACATCCCCCAGGAAACCCCTGCAAGTTTCCAGCTTCTTCAGTGTGCCCCCGCCCCCCCAAGAGCCACTCTGCCTATTCTGTGAAAGCAGAGCTGCCATCCTTTCTAGCCCACATCTGCTGGGCTTCAGTAGAACGCCCCAGGCTGAAAGTCCCAGGGAACCAACCTTAGTCCAACACTGAAGGGCACAGTCCCTGGGCATCCACAGAAACGGGATCCGGGAACCCGACACAAAATCCTTACATAGAATGCTGCAGTGTTTGCCTAACTGACGCACAGACCCTCCAAGTACTTTAAATCATCTCCAGACTGCTTGTACATGTTGAACAACGTGAATCTACGGAAATGGCTGCCATACTGCATTACTTATGGAATAATGGCAAGAAAAACCTGTACGCATTTAGTACAGACAGATATTTCAATCTGCAGTGGGTTGAATACCTGGATGCAGAACCTGTGGATACGGATGGCTGAATATTTATTTAAAATAAAACATTTATAATTTTTCTGATTTTTACCCAGTTGAAATCCAGCATCCTAACTTACTGGTTCTTCTCTGCTTCTCTGTGCTTACCTAGCATATAAGGTGGGTGAACCCATGTCAACTTCCTAGGAATCAGCCAAGAAAACAGGGGTGAGGCTTGTAACACCTCATAAGAAAGGGCAAAGGGGGGCTGGGGATGTGGCTCAGTGGTAGCGTGCTCGCCTGGCAGGTGCGGGGCGCTGGGTTCGATCCTCAGCACCACATACAAATAAAATAAAGATGTTGTGTCCACCAAAAACTAAAAAATAAATATTAAAAAAAAAAAAAAAAAGAAAGGGCAAAGGTGCTCCCCCACTGTGCCTAATCTGACTGTGTGCTCACCTGGGGAAGGTATCCACAGCAGGTCACCACATCAAACCCAAACTTGCCCACGAAGGGCCGTTCCGCCTGCCCACCTCCTTTCCCTTGCAAGAAGAGGAAAGAAAGAAAGATGACTGGTTAGTTCCCTTGCTCCAAGAGACCCCAGGCTCTGCTCAGAGCTGACCTGTGAATGACCTCAGCATGCCCTTCCCAACAAACAGGGGTCTTATGGCTGCCAACCCTCAGGTCACTCAGAACAGAGACTATGTCCACGGATTTAATGACCGAGGACACAGACTGTGTCCAGAAGCTGTACCAGAGGATACATGGAAAGGGCGACAACAGAACCCAAAAAAAGGGGATGCTCCTTAGTAAAAAGGTACCTCATAATCCATCAGGAAAGGATACTTTCAGGGGCCAACCTAGTGCCACTTTTGACAAACTACTGTGCTTTAAAATGGCCTCAACCCTCTGCAGCTCCCCAAATTCAAAGAAAAGCCCAACGGACTGAACTCTGTACTTGAGGGAAACGGGAAACGCAGTCTCACAGGGCTCCCCAGTGGATGCTGGGGGGCGGGGGGGCGGGGGGGACCCGTCGGGGACGCTCATACAGCATGTTGCGGGTTATCTGCTTTCTTATTGTCAGCTACTGTCTAACAGAGTCAACACGGCTAGTCGTGGATTACCAACTGGCAGGAGTTGGAAAAATCCCCTCAGTGCTAACAGGGCACCAAGCTCTGGACAGGTAAATGGAAGTGTTCTCACTCTGACACTCAAGAGTGACTGCACTGTGAGAAAAGACACTGTGCCCGAAGGACTCACTCTGCAGACAGGCAGAGAGACTGCAGGTCTGTCTGCGGGGAGTGGGAGGTGAAGTCCAGCTGCACTTGCTGTCTCTGGTGACCACAGGACACAGCACATAAGCACCCTTCCAGTGCTTACACACGGCACTCATGTAGCCGCAGGGCTGTGGCATCAGCTCACGCTACAGCACGGCCTGTCCCCGAGCCTGTATGGGCTGAATGTGCCCCTCTGGGCAGGGTTCCTCAGGGCCCCCCGGCCTTACCCACTGTGCCAGCCTCCTTCAGGAACGTCTCCCCAAGTCTCTTGTTATCAAGGTGTAAATCTGCGAGCTGGGCTCCAAGCTTTGCAGCATGACTGTGAAACCAAAAGACAGAAAACAGATGACAATCAGGAGACATGCCTGTCTGAAAGGCCTAGGGCACATAAAGCTGGTCAAACACTTGAGGACAGAAAGCCTATTTCTGCCAGAACCAAGGGAGACGAGGGGCTGCACCTGATGGCCTCTCCCACCTCATCTGACATGGCACTGGGCCCACTGCCAGCCCCTCACTCGGAGAGTCCTCTCCTTGGCCTGTGACTTTCAAAGGGTACGACCACTCACACTGCAGAACCGTCACGTGGTGGGGTCATGGATTCTTAGTCACCTTCCTCAAACAGTGTCCCCAAGTACAAACTAGAGGACTAAAGAACCACAGAGCCTTTCCTTTCCTTTCTTTTGGCAATGGCACTGGGGACTGAACCCAGGGGCACTCTACCACTGACTATATCCCTAGCTCTTTCCATTATTTATTGAGGCACAGGGTCTTACTGATTTGCTGAGGGACTTGCTAAGGCTGACCTCAAACTTGCCTCAGCCTCCTGAGTCTCTGGGACTCAACTCAAGCCTCTACTTTTAAGGAGAAGGGATGGTGTCCAGGCAGACCTGCTTAAATACCGCATGTCCAGATGCTCCATCACCAGCATGCTCCCACCACCAGGGGCACCCAGCACCTTGATGGGCTTGGGCACTTTCACGGTGTCCGTTTTCAGAATGGCAGTTAAACTTGACATCTCGCCTTCAAACATTCTTTTGGCCTGTCAGTCAGAAAGACAATGGAGGACGGGAAGAGGAGAGAAAAGAGGCAGAGGTCACCCTGGAAAGGTTCCAGGTAGACAGGTTTTCTTCTGGCATTCCCAGTGCTGGACCGAGGACTATACACGTGGAAGGCTTTTCCAAAGCACGTGTCAACAGTGGTGTGAAGGCTCAAGTTGAACAGGAAGGAAAGGGCTTGAACTTTCCAGAACTGGACCTCAGATTGATTCTGTGACTGAAACCAAAAGGACTGGAGAGAGGAGCGTGGAAGGCTGCTCCTGTCCCTGAGCACTGGGCACAGAGCTGCACTGTGTACATGTGGCGGAGGCCGCCCTGAACAGGAGCTGTGCCCAGAGGTACTGGACTGGTACTGCACCCTGCAGTGCAACTGGAGAAGAAAGGTGCAGCTCTGGGAGTGGGTGTCACAGATGGTGTTGAATGCCGCCCACCTGTTTGTTGTAATCCTACCCTTTTGCCCTTTCTTGCATAGAATGGTCCATGGATTAGCTCCAGTTAATAAAACCCAGGTTCCAGGTGTGCCCCCTCTTCTTTCTTGCCTGCCTTGTTCCCCCGTGGGAGCTGTGGCTGAGGAGTTGTCACTGAACCCAAAGAAAAAGGTACTTTCTGTGTCTGTCAGCCCAAATTCACGTGGCGTTACCCTGGTTTAGTCACGTGTCCCTACATACATGGGTTCTTTCATTGCCCTCAAATAGCATCTCAGCCACAGTCCTGTTCCACAGGGAGGAGGCAGGTGGCCAGGAACCTGGGGCCGCTTTCATTAAATGGACCACCAAGTTCTAGGCCACCTGCTACCAGGCACTGCAAAGGGCTCATCTCTACCACTCCCACCTCAGTCTCAGGACTACAGGGACCACCCTCCACTGGGTCTCCCCGCTCACAACACAGCATGATTCCTCTTTAAGGCAAATTGGATGGGACCCTGGATAACACAAGCCTGCAACCCTCTGGCTTCCTGCCCACTTTCCACCTTTTTCTGGGGCATGTGCATCCACACATACCCCTTGAGGCTGAGATTCTTTCAGTTCCTTGCCTTCTGCAGCCTGAAAGCCCCACAGTAATGCCACCTCGTGTAGCACACTATCCCCACCTCTTTTGCCACATCAGTTTCTTCCTAGTCACCCTTCAGATTCCAACTTGACATCTGTTTCAATTGGCCAAAGGAATGTCCCTAACTTCCCATTCTAGGTAATTCTTCTTTGGTTTTTTTTTAATATTTTTTTAGTTGTAGATGGACACATTATCTATACTTTTATTTCTCTATTTTTATGTGGTACTGAGGGCCTCACACGTGCAAGGCAAGCACTCTACCACTAAGTTACAACCCCACCCCACCCCAAATTCCTCCCTTGTAAAATACTCTCTTTATTTGAATTTGGAGAAAGTGTCTCACTAAGTTGCTGAGGCCAGCTTCAAACTTGCGACCCTCCTGCCTCACACTGATGGATTACAGGCCCCTGTACCCACCAACCAGCCCTTTAAGGAAAATCGCCACTGAAATATATACAGGGGGCTGGGGACGTGGCTCAAGCGGTAGCGCGCTCGCCTGGCATGCGTGTGGCCTGGGTTCGATCCTCAGCACCACATACAAAGATGTTATGTTCGCCGAAAACTAAAAAATAAATATTTTTTAAAAAATTCTCTCTCTCTCTTTAGAAAAAAAAATATATATACAGGAAGGTGTGTGGTTCATCAGTGCCCAACTCAATCACTTCCCACAACACAACCACCGCCCAAAACAAAAGTCCAGATACCTCCATGATCCAGAAACCCCTCGTCCACCATCCAGTGCTACCCACCCACCCACCAGAAGCAGCCTCTGCCTGAACTTGCACCAAGACTTATTTTGCCTGCTTGGTCATCTTATAGTCACATGGTCTCTGGGATCTGGCCCCTTTACTCCACACTGCACCCCTGTGTGGGTGCAACATCAGTCGGAGCTCATGCTTACTGCGTACAGGCTCCACTGCTGTGACTACTCCAACGTGTAGTCACCCATTCTACTGGCGATGGACAACCAGGCTTCCATACCAGGGCTATCAGGAACCGTGCTCCATAGTCTACTTATTCTCATAGTTGCCAACTCTGTGACCTTGGGCAAGTTATTTAAGCTTTCTATGGCCCAGTTTCCTTATCTGAAAAGTGGGGTTAATACTAAACTGCACAGGCTTGCTGCCATAATTAACTGAGTTAGCAGCTAACACTGACATAGTCCATTCTCAATACTTCATCACCTTAGAGAGCCAAAGTCACTGAGCAGGAAGAGCTGTATCCTAGATGGAACTTTTACAACATTCTCTTTAGGAGATAAAGGGGAACAACCAGGCCCTGTCTACATTTACTAGATATTGGTTGATGCCAGGAGCCGTCTGTGAAATATGCGTGAACCCAATCAGCATGGAAACCATTGGGTAGGAAAGTCTGCTGAGAACTCACAGTGGCACTCCTGCTAGTTTCAGATCACCCAGGACATGTGACATCCTATCTAACTCTGCCACAGGTTCTGCATAGCACCAGAGATGGGGTGACCTGCTGGAGCCATATAGCCAGCCACTCAGAGAGGGGTACGGCTTGTGAAGATGCCAATCAACCTGTTTGCTGCAAGTCCCTGACCACACCAAGAAGCAAGCCTCCTCCTGATGAAACCTATTCTCTGCCTTTGATATACTCTCCCGTAAATAAAAGCCGGGAGCCATTTTCTAGCAGTTCTGTTCCAGCTCCAATGTAAACTGGACTTGTACATGTGAGGCAAGGGCTCTACCACTGAGCCACAGCCCAGCCTCTCAGACACTCCTCTTTGAACCTAATTCTGGCTCTGGCTCTTATTTCTTTACTAAATATTTCATTTTCTCAGGTGGCTTATCAACTCCTGAGCAGGAAACTGAGAGCCTGGGGTTGTAGCTCAGTGGTAGAGCGCTTGTCTCGCATGTCCAAGGCCCTGGGTTCGCTCCTCAGCACCACACAAAAATAAATAAACAAAATAAAGATATTGTGTCCAACTACAACTAAAAAGTAAATATTAAGAAAAAAAAAAAGGAGTGTCTGACAGATTCTCCAGTGTGATGGCTGCCCAGTGATACTGGTTATGGAGACTAAGTAATAGATAGATTTCAAAAGATTCAGGGAGAGCCGGGAGTGGTGGTGTGCCTGTAATCCCAGCCACTTGGGAGGCTAAGACAGGAGGATTGCAAGTTCAAAGCCAACCTCAGCAACTTAGTGAGGCACTTAGCAACTCAGTGAGACCCTGTCTCTACATAAAATACTTTTTGTTTTGTTTTGTTTTGTTTAAAAAAGGGACTGGAGATGGGGCTCAGTGATTAAGTGTCCATGGATTCAATCCTGATATTAAAAAAAAAAAAAAAAAAAGATGCAGGGACTGATGAAAGAGGGCCTAGAAACCCAGCTTCTTCACAGAAACACTGTCTGCTACATGCCTAAAGTTCCCAACTAAAGAAAACTGCTACTCATCAGCAGATCAAAGGTAAAATTAGGCATCCTAATCTAGGGAACTAGGATAGAAATGATCCATGTGAGATTATTTTAAGTGGATCTAGAAAAGATCCAAGGGAGGAGTATGACAGAAAACCTATTATACAGGCATGCAAGGGGCAGATAAGAATAATCAAAAGGAAAAACAACTGTGACCAAATTAACTCCAACAGGGGGCAAGAAAGAAAACAGAAGAGCAGGAGGTAGTCTGGAAGACTGTCTTACTTCCTGGAAGGGAAAGCATAAAGAAGTCACATTTCCAACACCACAGCAAATGTTATTCAATGAGCAGTGTATTGGCATTACACACATTGTATGCTCCAGTGCAAGCTAGAAAATTACATATTAGAACTATCTACCAAAAAGCTAGAAGGAAGATTAGCAAAAAGAAAATGGACTTCACTGATGTAGCAAGTAAAGAACCTAAAGAAACAGACACAGAACAGTGTTTAAAAAGCATCTCTGGGGCTGGGGGTGAGGCTCAGTGGTAAGGAACATGCCCAAGGCCCTGGGTTCAATCCCCAGCACCACTAAATAAATAAATTAATTAAATAAAAGCACTAAGTGTTTCCATTTTAATCAACAGAAAACATTCACTTGCCTTGTCATCAGGTCTGACTGCAAATGCCAGGAGAAGGGGGAATGGAGATGTGAAAGGATGGATACCACAGAAAACAGAATAGAGACACCTGCTGCAGAACATGAGGAGGCAGGACACTGCTACATGAGTACCCATGCTGGGGACAGACCCATGTAAGACTATGTAAGACTGGAGGGCAGGCTGGTCTGGAGGCTGGGGTGTGAGAACAGAAAGTTGAGATTATCTTGCATCCTGGAAAGGAGAACTCCTTTCTGAGAAGAAAATGGAAATAACTTCCAGAATAAATTCTTTTATTTTCTTTTGGTACCAGGGATTGAACCCAAGGATGCTTAACCACTGCGCCACACCCCCAGCCCTTTTTTATTTTGAGAAAGGGTCTCACTAAGTTGCTTAGGGCCTCACTAAGTTGTTGAGGCTGGCCTCGAACTTGCAGTTCTTCGGTCTCTGGGGTTACGGGCTGGCGCCACCAGGCCCAG